AACCCAAGTAAAAAAAAGGGGGGGGGGGGGGGATTAGGGAACTACTAGAAATTCTCAATATCAAGTATCAAAAGAAAGAAACAACACAAATACAATCTACCAATTTTGGAAATAACTAGGGGAGTGTGCATTGCAATGGGGTTTTGACACAATAGGTAAAGTTTAGTCACAATCAAATCTATTGATATATGGATAGTGTTTGGTTTAGGCTACATTTAATATTCTTTCAATCTATCCAACATATATCTCTTGGATTTTCTTGAACTTCAATACCATTACCAATAAAATAACAAGCATTGCTTGAGTAGATAGACTACCCTAGATTATATCATTAAATGGAAAATTAATCAAATTATCCTATTTCTAGCTCAAATTCATAGGCAAATTTCACCAAGTCCTCACTATGGAGTCTTACCCAATTCCATTTTGCTTTCTCAATCCAAAAGAGTGTTAGACAACTCAATCAATGTTTGCGACTATTGATTTTGGATCAAAAGTTTAAGACAACAATAAATTAATGTATAACAATCAATTTCAGAACTAACTAATTAATACCGATAGGAATTTCACACTAGATTTAGCTACTCATAATCGAGGAAATAGAGAATATACTCATGTAGAAACACTCAATTTCAAGAAAAAATGATTAACAAATTTGAGATCCAAAACTTAGAAGAATGAAAATCTAAGTTTTCTTCCTTAGAAAGTAAGGAAGAAAGTAAGGAAGGTTTTTAGATAATTTCAATCACTACAATGTTATTCAAAAAGTTCTTAATTCTTAATGATTGTCAATTAGAAAAAAGATTAAGGTACATAATTACAAAAATTCCTATTCTATCCATGAAACCTTCCAAAAGAAGCACTTTAGCCTCTAGGTATGTTTTTACCTTGGGATTCTACTCCTCAACTTGCATTGGATCGGTGGAACGGCGATCTAAGAATGTTCAACATCAATCACATTGTCGCTTCAGCCTTTTGTTTCTTTAGCAACACCTGCACTGGAATTGCGGAATGCCGATCAAAAATTGTGCAACACTAATGAGTCGTAGGTACTTAGGAAGTTTTTTTCCAGCCAAGCCAGTGTATAACCGGCGAGACGCTAACTAGGTCTTGTAGGATGTCGGTTCTTTCGCTGGTGTGCTTTAGTGATTTCAAGCTCTAAATCCTTCAAACTTGACTTTTCCAAGAAATGCCTGCATACAAGAGAACTATGGCCTAAAACCCCCTCAATTAAGATTAAAATATAACAATAATTCATGAATTTGAGTCTAATGAGTTGATCGAATACCAATTCATCAGATTCTCAAATTTGAACTATTGTTTATTCTAAAGCAAAACACTCACTAAGAATTAGATTTGTATTCATCTACACCCAAGATAGGATTTGCACAATACAAAAATAAAAGACTAAAAAAAAACCTCTATATAGAAACACAACTCACAATTGATTCCACTATCAATCACTAGGCAAAAGTTTTTCTCTTTCTTTCAAAATCTTTCATTCAAAGCACTTTGAAGTAAAAATTTGGGACAATTGTTTTTCATTCAAGCACAATTTCAAAGCATCTAAGTGTAACACCTCGGTCTTAGAAAGAACAAAATTTAGAAAGAACTAATTTGGAAAGAGCTAGTTTGAGATTTGTTCGATTTAAGCTAATTAAGTTGTGAGTTTTGAATCAACTTCAAACGACCATAACTTTCAGTACAAGATGGATTAGGTGAACCATAAGATATCAAATGAATGGTCTTTGAATCCTCTTTCCAACACCACCAAGTTTGCTAGTTTTGAGTTCAGATGAGAGAGATATGTCCGTTTGAAGTCAGTCTGTCTAGTTAAGGAAAGTTACCCAAATTAATGAGAGGTATTTTGGTCTTTTCCTTATCCCATCAACTTTAAACATTTTAAGTAATATTTTAAGGGTCTAAATTGATTTGGGTTAGTTTTCACAATTCAAAATCACGCTTAGGGTGTTGAGAGGAGTTCAAGAGGAGAAAGAGGAGAGGTTCAAGGCTTTCGTCAAGATTCTTAAGATTTGTCGAGAAATTTCGCCAAGGGTTTGATCCCTAAGAGGTATGTAAGTTCTCATAGTGTTGGGTTCGTTCACCCACACACCAATCATGTGATTTTAAATCTGTAATTTCATTCTTGAGGTAGAATGATTTGAGTTCTTGATGAGTTTCTTCAAGTTTCGTTCTTAAATAGTTAATGATGAGTTTGATGAGTTTTTGAGATGAATGTTAGGAGTTTGAGGGTTGTTTTTGAGTAGATTTTTGTGTACTTATGTTGGCTATTCGAATCTAAGTGAGTTTGGAAGAAATCATTTGATTCTAGGCGAATTAGGGCAAAAATTGAAAAAGAAAATTCTTTGGAATGTTCTGGGAAGGGGCTGGGGCGGGTCACCCCAAATGTGCCAAGAGGGCTGGGGCGGCACGAGTAGCACGCTTGTTGACATCCTTTGAGAGGGCGCAATGTCGCGGTGACTCACCAAAAAATAGTAATTCAATTTTAAAAGAATAAAAGAATTTTAAAAAAGGTAAAGGGGTAAAAGGGTTTAAAAGAGAGTCGACACCTAATTTTAGGAAAAACTAGGAAATCAATTAATTAATAAAATAATGTCTACGAAACCAATAGATCATATGTAAGGGGTTCAAGTTATTCCGAAGGGAAGGTGTTAGACATCCTTCAAAATCCACAAATATGGATCCCGATTGAATTCATTTTTTTCAAATTGAGGAGATAAAAACAAATATACAAGTATAATAAACATGCGATATACACAAGTAATAAAATAAAACAATAATGTAAGAAACGACATAAGGTTTGCCTAACATCGATATATATAAGATAATGAATAAATAATATAATTTGAACTTTATTCGAATAGCTTCAATGGGAAGCAACTCCGTGTACCTGTAAAGACACTTAATAAAAATGTTAGTAATGAATAAATATGAATAAATCAAATAATAACTTAAAAATAAAAACTCGTCTTATTAACATGGGATACCTTGAAAATTGACGGTAATTTTTTCATCAGCCATTTTTAACATACAAAAAATATAAATTTAAACTAAATTTCCGTCTTTTAAAATAGGGAAGGCCTGCAAAACCGATGGAGAAATTTTTTCATTGATCAATTCTAAAATAACATGAAGTTTTACCCAACTAAACAATTCATTAGAAACAATTAAGAACATCTAAAATTAGCCCACTAGTAATATTTAAATTCAAAGAAACGAAGATGATAAAATAACGAATAAACAACAATTAATGATTGACTAAAATAGAGACTTTAATAACAGAAGCAAATAATGAATAAATGGAGCAACTTAGTATGGAAGTGGCTGGAACATTCAATTAAATAAATAATAATTAAAGTGATAAGAATGCCCAATTCACTGATAACAAATCAATATTAAATATAGCAAAAACAAACAAAAGAGGAATAAATGTCACAATGTCATATAATAGCCCCAACCCAACAATATTCAACAAACTAATAAACAGAACATCAAACACATTATCCCAAGGCTGAACAAAATTAATCCAAATAAAGCTACTAATCACGAATTCATATTCACGGAAGCGAACAACACAAAGATGCTGGAAAATCTCCATTGAATCAAACAAAATGTATGTAAAAGAAAATGAAACAAAGAATAGTAATAACAATCGAAACCAACAAACTAAAATCAAAACAAAGAAAATCAGGCAGCTTTATTTCAAGTACTAAAGAAGACAAAGATTTTACCGAAAAATAACAATGGTGTGGGTCTGGTTCGTTTGATGGCTCACTGGAAATCAGGAGTTCGCCGGTGTTGGATTCACGACGGGGTCGTGTTTGGCTGCTGTTGTTTGACCTTCGTGCTCCTTCTCCGGAAATGTCGTTTTCTGGTTGCTGGTTCACCGGAGATCGGGTGGTTTTGGTTGTGGTTTCAGGCGGGTTTTGGGTTAGTTTGTTACTGGTTTCGGGCGGTGCTGTGGTGAAGGAGAGGGAAACGGGGTTGAGGACTGGTGGTTGTTGAGCTCGCTGGAGCGGCGATGGATCTCGCCGAAAAAAGTGAGTGAAGGGTCTGGTAGGTAGAACAGTGAGGGAGAAAGGTTGTTTCGCCGGGAAAACGGAAAAAGGAGAGTGTTCTTTGAAGCTGGTTGTGAAAGGAAAATGAGGGGTCTTCGTCGGGTGGTGGACTCGCCGGATTCCGGCGGAACTCCGGTGATCTTGTCACCGAAAAAATAATAATGAACAATTAAAAAATTTCTGAAAATTACCCCTAAAATTTAATCTATTGCCCCTTAACTTAATGTGCAAGCTATTTTCTAAATAAAGAATTCAAAACCACCAATAATACAATATCACTATCTTAAAACTGTATTCAATCGACTGTGACAAAATAACATAAACATAATTAACCGATAAAAATCCTAATACTTTGAGAATAAGAATAATTATCAACAAATTGCATTAAATTGACAAAATATGTATTTAGAACTATTAAAAAAATAAAATACTTAAAAAGTATCAACTTTAGAAATATTAGACCAAAATTTGATGTGAACAGCGCCGTCAGTGAGTCTTCTGAAGTTCAAGGGTTGGCACCTCGCGCCAGCACTGCGCCAGGGTCGCCTGCCCCCGTCCCATTTTCGTCGTTTGTCCTGCCTGAGTTAATTTAAAGTGTACCTTCACTCCTTTCTGATTCTAACTACTCTAAACTACATCTAAAAATTGAGAGATCCTTCATAACATGAATCATAACCCTTGAATTCATAATTTAATTCAAGGTAGAGTTAAGAGTAAAGTCTTGAGAGTTATTTCGAGTCAATTTGAGAAGTCTTTTACAATCTTTTAAGACTTGAGTACTTGAGTATGAGGATGAGGAGAGTTGAGTTATATTTTTCAAAATGAATATATGGGGACTAAGTATTCCTAATAGTAAATGTTTTTATATTTAAAATTAGAGAAAACATCGATTTCCAAATGAATTCATGAGGAGTTATTGAGTATGATCTCTTTTAAAAGAACCATTTGAGTAATAATATCAAAGCTTGAGGATGAGGAAATATTTTTAAACATATCATATGAGTTATATTTTGAGAGTAGTATTGAGTACCGATATGAGGACGAGTTTAAACAACTTAAAGTCCTCATAAACCATGTAGCCAACGTGGGTAAAAAGGGTCATACTTTTTAGATGATTCCTTATTGCTTTTAAGCATAGTTTCGTGGATCCACTCAGTTGAGGATGTATTATACTCCGGCAAGATATAGGACATTTCTGACAGTGTGGGCGAGACGTTGTATCATCACATAGCTCATAGTGATGGTTGTCGGTTAGAGAATCTCCCAAATTGAGTTATTTTGTATCTTCACATACAAACTGAGTTATTATTGTATTTTTAAATACATTGAGTTGTTATCTACTGTTTTAAATGCTTTATATAAACTGCATCTTTGTTGTTGTTTTTATATTGTATTGAGTTGAGTATCCATGAGTTGAGGTTGAGTTGAGTAAAGTTGAGGTGAGTATGTTTCCTTCTTTCCAAGTTCAAACTTTTATGTTATGTTCAGTGTTCTCCTTACATGCTCGTACATTCAATGTACTGATACCATTTGTCCTGCATCGTTCCATGATGCAGATACAGGTAACCAGGGTCATCAACAGACTCTTCGTTGATACCACTTGCAGTTCGAGTTAGCTTTGGTGAGCCTTCTTGCTTCTGGAGGATTCCCATTTACTTTTCAGTTTTGTTAGGATGTTGGGGGTCTTGTCCCGACTTCCATCATTGTCATTAGAGGCTTCATAGATACCAGTGTTTTGAGGAGTCTTTTCCATTTCTTTGTTAAATGTTTTAAAGACCTGATTTGCCTATTTCTGGCTAATTGAATATTCTTATATATTCTGAGTTATTTATTTGAGACAATTAAGTTAAATCTTTGCAGTTGAGTTCATATATTGTTGAGTAAGTCTTCCGGTGAGTATTGAGCCGGGCCAAGGGTTCGCTTGGGGCCAACAATGGTTCTCGAGTGGCATTTACGTTCAGGGTGTAGGCTCGGGGAGTGACACTAAGTCAATGACATTGACCTTCAAGTTTGCCTAAAGATTCACACAATTTTATCGCATTCATGCAACTCAATTAAACTAAAGACCTTATCATTCAAATGGAGGATGCAATGTAACCTCACACAACTCATAGAGAGTTAGGGGGAGCAGTATGTATAGTCACTCTATTTTTTGAAGCATTTAGGGGTCAATTGACAAGAATTATGTGATTATCTCAGTTTTTCGTATGTGTTAGCCCATGAATCTTTTGGTGATATGGCTTCTAATCGATTTTTTTCTTGAAAACTTTACGGAATTCTACGTAGGGAGTTGGGGAGTAGTATGTACAATCTCAACATTTTTTGAGGCATTTTTGGGTATTTAAGGGCCAATTTACAGATATTAGGCGATTTTCTTAGTTTTCATGTGTGGCACCCCATAAATATTTTGGTGATATGGCTTTCGATCGATTTGTTTGCGAAACCTTTACAAAACTCTTTGTAGAGAGTTAGGCGAGCAACAATTACAGTCTCACTATTTATTTAGGTATATTTTGGTATTTAGGGGCCTATTTACAAGAATTAAACGATTTTCTCAGCTTTCCGTGCATGTTAGTTCATGAATATTTGAGTGATATGACTATCAGTTGTTTTTTTTGCGAAACCTTTACGGAACCCTATGTAGGAGTTGAGGGAGTAGTATGTACAATCTCTCCATTTTAGGCATATTTTGGCATTATGGGGCCAATTTGCAAGAATTAGGTGATTTTCTCAGTTTTCGTATGTGTTAGCTCATGCATATTTTGGTGATATGACTTCTAATCGTTATTTCAAAAATCTTACGAAACTCTCAGTATGGAGTTGGGGGAGCAGTACATACTGTCTCACCATTTTTAGGCATATATTGGCATTTAGAGGCCAATTTACAAGGACTAGATGATTTTTTCAATTTTCCGTATGTGTTAACCTAAAAATATTTTGGTGATATGATTTTCAGTCGATTGTTTTGCGAAACCTTTATGGAACAATCCGTAGGGAGTTGGGAGAGCAGTACGTGCAGTCTCACCTTTTTTGAGAGATTATTGGGCATTTAGGACCAATTTACAAGAATTGGGTGATTTTCTCAATTTTTCGTGTATATTGCCCATGAATATTTTGGTGATATGACTTTCAAATGATTTTTTTGTGAAACCATTACAGAACCCTCTGTTGGGAGTTGGAGTGAACCGTACATACAATCTCACCATTTTCGAGGCATTTTGGGGCCAATTTACAGAAATTATGCAATTTTCTCAATTTTGTGTGTTATTCTATGCATATTTTTGTGATATGACTTTCGATCGATTCTTTTTTGCAAAACCTTTATGGAACCCTACGTAGGGAGTTGGGTGAACATAATTACAGTCTCACCTTTTTTAGACACATTTTTTTCATTTAGAGACCAATTTACAGGAATTAGATGTTTTTCTCAATTTTTCAATGAGTGCCCTCGTAACTGGAAGCGCAAATTTATACATGATTAATACATATATTTAAAGAGAAGCTCTAATAGAATTCTTTATTTGTATATACATTGGAAATTACAAACAGACAAACCTTTCACAACAGCTATTCTTCAGCTTATTGCCTTACATAGCTCAACTTTCCCATACTTTCACAATTGAAGAAGATGAACCTGAAAACCAACCAAATAAAGGAAAAGAAAATTACATTTTGAACAAACTGAACAACATATAACATATTGTTTTCACATCACTATTTCTGGTTTTAGGATGCTAGATTTGATCTCTTTGTGGGGTAAGACTACTCCACCATTGCTGTAAATTTCATCACAAACATGTACATCTTCTCCAAGAATGGTCATATTCTCAACACGAGCCCATTGTCCAACGGTTGAGTGCCAACCAATAATGCTACCTGAGACGCATGCGTGTTTCTTAACACGGACTCCGCGCATCACAGTGCAACGAGAGAGTCTAACCCCAGACTCAATCACACAACCAGGGCCTATCGCAACATCTGGTCCAATCAAGCATCCTTCTCCAATTTTGGCAGTCTCGTCCACTATGACATTTCCAACAATGTGAGAACCTAATGCCAGTTTTGGTGAAGACCTCTTCTTCAAAGAATCTAGGTAGAGTCTAAGACCAGTGATGTAATCCCTTGGCTGTCCAACATCCATCCAAAACCCAGGAAGGACCATAGCGTATAGCTTTTTCTCCGCAGCAATATTTGGGAAAACCTCTTTCTCAATAGATGTTGGTCTTAATTGAATTCTCTCTAGAACGCAAGGGTCGAGCAGGTAAATGCCAGCATTGATCTTGTTGCCAACAAATAACTTAGGCTTTTCCACAAATCTCTCAACTTGGCCAGTGGATTCTTCCATGACAACAACACCATATTTGGAAGGCTCATCCACCTGTATCAACCAGTTATATTTACATTTTATACCCATCATCATCCTCATAAATCATGGAAATTCAAACGGAAAATGTAACTAAGAACTCACCTTAGTCACCATTAAAGAAGCCTCACCTCCATGGGATTTATGGAATTCAATCATCTCCTTGAAAGGATATTCACTGATAACATCACTGTTAAGAACAAAAAACGGCTCACCAGCATCATCTACCAGCTTGTCTCTAGCCAGAGCAAGGGGACCTGCAGTCCCAAGTGGTTCAGTTTCTTGAGAACATGTAATCTTAATCCCCAGTTTTGTCTCAAATTCTTTCAAGAAGTTCAGCATCACCTGTGTCAAACAACACTTATAAATTCTTTTCGTTGCTCATTATATATTTACGATCTCTAATGGAGGGAAGCTGACCTCCGGCTGGTAGTTAATAGCCAAGACCACTTCAGTCACTCCAACAGCCTTGAGAGCCTCGATCTAACATACAAAAGTGTTTAGTAAGACATGCTTCAGCATAATTCATTTTTCACCAGCAAAATAGGAAAGGAGAACATATAGAACGCGTGCAAGGCACAAGTGAATTCTTATTTAGATTTTCCATTCCCCTTTAGGATCATGTCCTAGCAAAGGCAGGGGTGATTAATCCCTAGATATTGCAGGACATAGGGCACCTGAAACTTTAAAATGTTCGGTGACAAACAAGATATGTGAAATCCTATTTTCTAATATAAAGTCCAAACTGGAATAGTGAGCTGAAGTTCTCAAAATTCAAATAACCAACTAAAAGGATAGAAAGCAATATCAGGAATCTACTTAAAAGGCGCATTTTTATGGGG